ATTAAATAAAACAATTTAAATGTCTGTCTGTTGATGTTCTCCTCCTAATACAGCATGGCAAGAAAATCCTTCAAATATTAATCATTAACCTGTTGAATTGGAGATATTTATGAAGTCATAGGGAGGTGAACTATCAGCTTCATTTACCTTTGGTAAATGAAATAAAACAATCATTCATTTTCTGATATAGCTGTAAAACTAATCTGAAAGGTTTTCAAACTAAATCACTTAAAAAAATATATAGTGTGTACCTTCTAAAAATGAAACCTACATCTATCCCTGAATTGTGAAGACTATGTATTAAGGTTATAACAACCAACAAGAATACACTTTTTTGTAGAAATCCATGATTAAATCAAGTCTTCCTAACTAGTGATTTAAATCAAATCCACCCTGAAAAGTAATATAGGACTTGTCTACACAGGAAAGTTGTATCAGCTAAAGATTAAATCTGTTTAACTGGTCTTGTGGACATTTATTCTGAAATAAGAATGGCTATTTTTGGTTTAGCTTGAACTTCTTGCACAGCAACCAAAGCTAGATCACACCAGAAAGTATATCCACATGGGAAGATTCACCAGTATCAATTCACTCCTTAGCTTATATTGGTATAACTTTCCTGTGTTGACAAACCCTTAAGTGCATAAACTTTAAAGTTCAGCAGAATAAGCATTTGGGGATTTCCAAGAAAAAGAACACAAACATTCGTTGGGCCTACATTACAGTTTCAGGTTAACACCTCAGTAAGTATTCTACCTGCCATATTCTATTTGATGTCCAGTAAATTCAAAAGATGTACTAACCTCAATTTAATATCCAACATTGTTATATCTTCAGTAAAACAAGCATTTTCACAGCATTTTACAGTCACCTAAGTCCTCACCCCAGGCTTATCTTAAAATCTATGGATTACTTCAGTTTCAGCACAGATGGTAAGTAACATTTCCAATTCATTCCTTGCATGAGAAAGGGATTTAAGAAGCCACCACCGTTTAACAACAAGATCTAATTTCAATTCATGTTAAAAGTCTACTTAAATATATTTCCAGTTTAAACTTTGCCATTGTTGATTCTTTTGTAAGATCAATTTCTCAATGAGTTGCAAGAAGGGAGGCACTCAAGTAGCTGATCTATGCAAAAGACTGGCTTAAATCTGTTATCCTCCAATTAATTTTATTAGGACTATGGAACTTCTCTGAATGAAGAAACATAACTGTATGAATTTCTTGCCATTACCCATGCCAAACAGCACCTCAAAACTCACAGGAAGAAACCGAAGTGAATATACTCATTAACTTCTTTACTTTCTGGGCCTTCAGATGCTTACAAACTTTACATTCAATATTAATATAATTTTGTTGAATATTTTAGTTATTAGTCTGAGGATAAGAGTTCTAATACCAACTCTGCCCACCTTACATAAACATTTACTCCATTTCAGAGTCCTATTAGAATTGGTTGAAAAATAAAACTAGACAAGGTTTTTAATAGTATTTGATAGTTTGTTTTGGTCTTTAGTTTTTGTCTGTATTTTTAAGAGAAAGGGCACAATGATTCTTCTTAAGAAGATTTATGTAAAGTGTTTCATTTTCAAAAGAGGCCTTTTTTAAACAAAAAACTTTGTTCAAAGACATAGGCAGCTCATTATTATTTATTTACATTATGCTAGCACCTAGCGATCAGCCAAATCACAGGCCTATTGTGCTAGATGTTGTACAGACATAACTTAGAGAATTTTTCACTTGACCACAGCTCAGTCTCTGACACCAGAAGCTTACAGTCAAATAATAGACAACATAAAACAGGGTCGGGGGGGGGGGGGGGGAGGGGGGAGGAGGAGAGAGAGAGAGAGGAGGA